CTGAAATAGTGTTTTTGTACATCATACCATTATGATGTCTTTCAACAATATTACCAAAGAGGCTAATGCTATGTTATTTCCAATGTATTCAAAGGCCCAGTTAAATATATGTGGTCTGATGTAAGTGTAATGTGTGCAAGGAATATGATCTGGAATATGGCCTGCTAACAATCACCAAAGGAAAGTTTAGCCATATCCAGTCTGCCTCAGGGATGATGATACTGAGAAAACATTGTATGCAAACTATTGAAACATGGATTCAGATCATACAATGTCATTTTTATGAAGATGATTTTTAAGGTTAAAGCAAGACTTTAAAACCAAAGATTTCCCCTTTGTGTTGAATTTCCTAAAAGGAGTAGAAACCCTGAATAATCGTATACATGGGTGGGACACCTATGCTTAAAGCTATGTGAAATTAATGATACCCCTGTGGATAATCTTCCTTAAAAGCAAGGAGCACTGTAAAATAATGCAGCAGACCGGTAGAGAGGCAGGGTGCCACTTTGTTAGACATATAGATTATATTTCTTGGCATTAGAGTTACCAGAATCATTATTTCATTCCTTTGTATTTTATCCTGTTGGGAGATAAACAGAAAACTTCAGCATGCAAGAATAATAAATCCATTGGTGAAAATAAAGCTGATATTTTACAGCAGTTATACTTCTGTTATTGGTTTGAACAAAAGCTGTCTGGAGGTCTTACGTCCAGTGGAGATCTGCCAAATAGTTTGAATTGTGAAACTTAACCCATATGGCTTCCAGGCTGTTTTCATCTATGTTTATACAATTTTCTGCAATCATCTAGAGTAAAAGACTCTGGTGCACATCTCCAGGATATGACAAAAATAAATCACTAGGAGATAATCATAGCTGAGCATTAGTCCTTCCTCTATCCAGTTTGTTCGTCTCTTCTTATATGCCTACCAAAAGTGACTGAACTTTAGAAAGAGGCAACGCTTCACAATGTAAGCTAGTAAAATTGTCAGACTTCTTCCAAAGTTATTCCAGCCATAAAGCTTTCCTGGAGTGACATGTATTTTTAAAATCCTTTAATGAGATCTTAAAAATGTCTGATGGAACAGTTCAGTACAAGACATGATTCCTAACCAACGTGCAGTGCTGGGAGTTTGTACGCACTTGGTAGAGCTTTAGCTCCCCACCTTGTTCTGGCTCGGCAGAGGTGGGTGGGCTCTTCAGAACACATATCACGGTAATAACAGGAGCATCTAGTGTCTCTGGCCTCACTTTATGTATTTAATTGTGTCACTGGCATCACTTTATGTATTTAATTGTATCACTGTCTCAACAGGAGCAAATTTAGCACAGTATCTTACTGCGTACAGAGGATCTGTGTAGTAGAGGGGGGTTGTGTCAGGGAAGGAAATTTGTACATAAAAAGAAGGAAAGATTCAAGACTATAATACTGAATTCTGTGGGGATCAAATCCCTTAGACCCAGAGTGGAATCTGGTAGCTATACTTAATTTTTTCATTCTGTGAAAGCTCAATACATTTTGCCCAAAAGATGTTTTGTGTCATTTATGTATGATGCTGTAACTACTTGTCATGTAATTATATGCTTTGTTCTTTTTTATATTTTTATTTGATGTTTAGGTTCAATTCAGAGAAAAATTGTGAATGAAAACAATTTCTTGTAATCGGTATAACTTGTACTGAGAATTTGGTTCAGCACATCTGTTAAGCTTGTACTGATGGGAAATAAATCTTTGAATCATCTGAAACCACTGGGAAATCATGGGAGATAAGAAGAAAGACAGAGGAACTGTTGAACTGGTTGAGACTGAATGAAGCTTTACTCATCCCTTGGACTAAACATTCTTTCCTGTTTTTTCATCTGTACCTACCTCTGAAGAGGTTGATTTCCTGGTATTTCTGGGACACCAAAAGATGAAAACATCAGAAACCTGTTCTCATTACAACATGAGCTGTTTTTCGTTTCCTTATGAGACCATAACCTGGAAAGAGTAGCTCATTGCCTAAAGCAATATTTTGAGTCAAAGAAATTAATGCAGAAAGAAGAGCTGTTTCTCATGATAAAAGCAACCACTAAGAACACAAATCTTTGCAGTCAGCACATGAAAATCATGGCTAAATTTGATGCGACAGAGTCACTTCCCTGATGCTGAAGTAGGGGTGGACACACTCTGCAGATACTGAATATTTCTTTACCAGACCAACTTGACTGATGAGGAGAGTTATTATCACAGTGCATATGACTTCTGGAAGTATCTCCTGGGGTTAGAGGGTGTGTGACTTTTCCACTACTGTTCTCCAACATTTGCCTTCTTATTTTGTGTTGTTTGGATATACCCATTTCTATTTTTGCAAAGTGGAAGTTAAATTGAATAGCCAAAGATAAAAAGTGTCTTCATCTTTGTATTTTTGTTAGTAATCTGCTAAATGTAAACGGTAGATTTTTGGGATGATGATCTTTATTCCAATCAAATCTTAATCACGGTTCCTGTTTTGTTTTGTTTCTTCTAATCTGTGTATCCAAGTACAGTGGAAATCACACACAAAGAACATTCTCATTGGTTACCACAAAATTACCACAAATATATATCCCATTCTAATTGCAGGGAAAACAGTTGTGATCTCAGATGTTTCATGTGGTAGCTGTTAGCAAATGGGAACATGGTAACCATAGTATATTTATTTAAAGTCACTTCCCTAAATATAATGTGCTCTGTACAGATAAGTTTTGAAGCGAAATCCCAGTTACAAGTTCTTTTAGTATATAATTTAAATGTATTTTCAGTAAAGAGTATTTTTGCCTTGTAAGCAGAGACAACATTGCTTTCCCATGTTTCAATCTTACTTTTTGTTTGTATTATGTAAATTACTAGGGAGTTTTTGACTAATGTTGCAACACCTAACAGACAAGCAAAAGATATTTTCCATGTTTCAACAGCATTTAGGAGTCAAATTCCTCAGAGAAATCCAGATCCTCCCTGAATTAATGCTCTTAGTTTTTAAGATATCTGGTACAAAATTTAGCTCATATAATTAGTTGTTTAGGTTTCTGAGGGTTCTATGATGAATTATTATTTTGAATATGCCCAGTTATTTACTTGTAAAATGGAAAGTTATTCTCATCCTAATGAGTTCAATTGATCTGTCCCGTGTTTTCTGGTCTTTGAAAAATTTGGACAATTGCTCTTCATTTTTGCCTCCCTTGGAACACAACAGTAATACAAAGTTTATGAACCAAATGAAAGTCTACTACCAAACATTTTGATGTTTTGCCCTACTATATACTGAAACAAAGACCTTTAAAAGCAAGGAATGAACTACAGCCATACAGAAAAAAAAAAAAAAAAAAGTATTATTGTCTCCCATCATTAAGTTGCAAATTACCTCCCTAGAGCTTTGTGTATCTTAGCCCAGAGTGATGGTGCCCTCTTGGTATTCCCATCCTGCTGTCTAAAACAACTGCATTTGTTAAATATAGTGGTAAACCTATTTGAGTCTTCCATCAGAGAGTAGAGAACATCAACCTACACTGCCAGTTTGGTACTCTGGAGGGACAAAGGAAGGCAGAAACCCTTGCATATTTCAACACTTAATGAAAATCATCTTGTTGTCAAGCCAACATTATTGAAATATTCCAAGTTTAAATGAATTGCATAGATGGCATTATCAGGAATGTCAGAAACACCATTAGGATCTTGGCAGTGAAGAGTTGGATAAATTCAAATCCATCATATGTACACAACTCTATAATCTGCATATTTAATTGGAAGGGAAAAATAATGCTTGTAATTCCTCTCATGTATGACAATTTTTTTACTATTTTGATAAAAGCATAATGCTAAACACCACCAAAAAAAAATGTTATAGATACACATTGAAATAATCTGACAGGAAGAATAGAGTGTCAATTATCTGAGTGCAGAGTAACTATAAAATACATTATGTTGAATATTCATCCAAGTCATTTTTTTCCAGTGCTGGAAATAGACAAAATGCACCACAAAGACTTGATGTTTTTCATTCATTCTGAGCCAATGTTAAGATGTTCAAAAGACTTAGAATAAAATCTGTACTGACTACATTTTTATGGCAGAACTTCCCCTAACTTCAGTGGGATGAAAATTTATCCCAATGTCCAAATATAATCTACAGAGAGCATCCTGACACCTGCAGCAAAATAAAACTAAGAAGCTAAATACTGCAGCCCCAACCACAGGCAGAATGAGGCAGGAGGAATATTGTGTCTATTCCAAACAAACCTGGAGGGGCAGTTGATGAACCCAGAATTACTTTTCCTAGATTAGCTTTCAGGCAGTGTATTAATGTGAAGACTCATTTATTTTCAAAAACTAACCACCAGATATTTATTTGTTCCCACTGATAAGGATATTCACTGATACCTCTATGTAAAATTCAGGCCTGCTTGTAGATCCTTGTCCTGATATGCTCTGCTGGGATATTGGCTTGTATTTATTTAGAAGGAAGAGTACTTGATGTTGAATCACCCAAACCATTTCCTTTAGCACCTTAGTGTTCAATGGAGGTATTTCATCTATATTTTAGTGCATCTGCAGTGATTATTAGACTGTATCTCTTAATTTCTTTTCACCATTTCATGAAGACCACAAGGAGTGGAGTGCAAAGCACCTGCTGTGAAAAGCTGAACCTTACTTTCCATTAACTTCTCCAGAGGAAGGGGGGAGACATTAGGCATTCAGCACATCCTGGGACCAAGCCCTAACTTCCCTTTAACCTTTCACTTCTCTCCTAACAGCCTTTCAGGACATGATGAAAAAAAGCTGAGAGACAGAGTCTAACAATCACATAAAGTTACATGGAATTTCCCCTTGGACAACCACAAGATTATACTATCCAGTGACCTAGCTGTATTTATGGAACACAGGAAACCTTTACCTCCTTTCCTTTAGGCTTTAAAAACAAACAGTCTTACATAAAAATACACAACTGCCACAGTGTGTCTCCACCATTTTAAAGCATCTTACCTAGCAGCGTCTGCAGCCAAACACATTAGAGATGAGGAAGGGAGCCTTCTGTTTCCCTTACTGTACCTCCTCAGGCACTGTCACCTATAGACCACAGAAGGGCTCTGTATGAATAAAGTGTTGTTTGAGTGCTGAATTGCAAGACTTCTGGCAATATATAGTGGTTGACTGATCATTTCACAGATTTGTTTAAAAGAAGAAATTTACAAACCACCCAAAACTTTTCAATAATAAGTTCATGCATTTCTTTAAACAGAAATTAAAGGTGTCTGAGTTAATTCTAATACAGGTTAGAAATTATCTGGCAAGACAGGTAATGAAGTATCTAATTTTTGTGGAGGGAAAAAAAAAAAAAAAAAAAAGATTAAAGGATTTGATAAATCTTATTTTGCTGGGGGTGAGCTGTACCATAGTAACTGCTTGGTCCTTTTGTTTAAATACTATTCAGAATATCCAGTAGACGGGAGTTTAAGAGGGTATATCAGGACTATTTTGCTAACATCTGTGGATGGGAACTAAGATATGCCTAACGTCATGCATATGCAATCACAGCAGTCTGAATTTTAAATATCAAACACAATTAATAGACAACTAGAAAGCAAGCTAAAGTCAGGTATAATCCCCAAATCATATTTGACTATTTCATGAATGAAAATTGCGAACTGGACACAGACAATATAAAAATAGCAAGTATTAAGCACATCTACAAGCTATTTAAATAATTACATTAAATAGTATGAAAAAAACACTATAATTCCGGATTTTGAATAGGTATGTATGATCTAAGGATGGAATTACAGTTACATTTATACCATCATTTCTTCCTTGGCATCTTCTGAGCCTTACAGTTACTATGAAATTTAACAGATGCTTCCGAAACCAGTCATAATAATAAGGATGTCTGTGTGCATTAGGAAATAGGTGACAATTGTCTTGCAATTTAATGGGTTGTGAAACAATTTAAATAACAATAATGCTAAATATTTTGCCCCCCCAAAATAGATTTCTGCCTACAATGTTTATGAAGAAATCTATTTACAGTCTGTAGAAAAATTCCAATGCATGTTATGGTGCAGGGCCTCACAATGCCTGGGATGCAGCATCTCCTCAAGCTAACAGTAAAACTGCAGCAATCAACTTATTTTTTTTCTTTCTTGATGCTTAAAGAAAACGATGTCCTCATGGTTCAGAGACACAAATGAAAACTACAGCCTAAATTCAGGCTGCACTTTTAGCACTACCCTGACCAGTATGTGGTTCTTTCAAAACCTTTAACTCACAGAAGGCCACATGATTCTGGGTAGGATTTAGCTTCCAAGAGGTAGTACTTGGTTTAAATATTGGGAATGATTTTAGAAAGCAAGAATTTCTGACATTCATTGAAAACTATGCTGACTTTTCCAAAACCAAACATCATCCCTTGGTATTCTTAAGCAGAAATAGTAAACCTGAAATATCATGACAGACCTGAGGATGATGGATAGTGTGCTTTCAACCGCTATGGCAACAAGGAAGCCAGATCTACATTACCTACTCCTTCCCATAACAAGGCGGGAAGGTGGCAGCAGCAGGATTGCTTTACTGGTTTTCCTAGGAGGATTCTCTTTTTACCATTACTCTTTTAGACTTCTGGCTGCCACCAGCTGAACCACAGATCAAGCTGTACATCATGGAGTTTAGATCAAGATCTGAAAGAGAACCTGCCCAGAATCTGAATAGGGATAGTTTCACTGTTTCATTCTGGCTCTTATATATCTATATGCTTTTTTCTGTATGCATAATTTATTTCCTTTTAATTAAGTATTTTAATTGAGGGACCACACAGGAAGATACATTCCAAAAGTTTACAGCAAACTTTTACATAAGATGCAGCAAACCCACATAACAAGAATCATAAAGGAAAGGAGTGAGATAAAGTGCAAGGATACAGAGTATAAAACATCACTTCACTGCTCAATATAGTGGCTGGCTTCCCTTGAGTTTCTAGGTAACCACATTTCAGTAACATTCTGCCCATTTGTGCTGCTGTGTCTGTTCCCCATCCCCATTTGTTAGGACTTTGTGCAAAACAAATTTCATAATTTTATTCATACTTTGACCATAAATTAACCAAACATCATAATTTGATAGAATCAGTAAAAAAGAAGAATTAGCATTTTATGCTTCGGCACTCTGAAGACATTCCAAAATACTGTTTAGGGTCAGTATGTTAAAGACAACAACAGATTATGTTGAAAGAGTCACAATCCCACTGTAACACTGCTATATGTATCCATACAGTGTCAAATGTAACAGGGAGAGATTCTGATGTTTTGGAAAATGGCTATTATGATAAGGAAGACCAGAGTAGGGAAATTAATACTGAGTCTAAATGCCAGGTGCACTACAGTGAACAAGCATGTTCTGACTACTCTACCCAGTTCACATACTCTGTATTTTGTCATGTCTTGATATTTCTACACTTGCAGTCTCTAAATCCCGGAGCTGAATGTTGGCCTGTAAAAGAAGCTTTTTGTTTTCTGTCTGTAAAAACAAATGAAATACACTGAAACCATATGGCTAATCTATACGGTATGTTTTTGAAATGTGTTCTGGTTTTTCTTCCCCCAGTCATGGTTAGAGAGGTGTCCTTTCAGCCTAATCTCTCTCCTCCAACCAGATGTGCAAACGTGCCTCTTAGAAAGCAAACCAACTGGAATGGAATGGGAGAAGGTTAAAAATACACATCAGTTTTCAGTATCTCATCATTTTACCTTCAGTGACATACATTTGTGGATATATTTGTGTATATATCCAGTGTATTTATTAAACTACCATCCTCCCACTTTACTGTAATTCCCTTTTAACCAAAGTCCCCAGAATAAATCACTTCCTCAGTTGTTTATCATTTGTCCAAACTTCTTTGGAGTTCCTGTAGCACTTCAAGAACTTATGGTCATTCCTGAGCACATGCACCATACATTCATATTAATATACAAGTAGTCAATACAAGTAGTCAGACCTGTTTCTCCCCCCATTTTTTTAAAGGAAACAGAAAACTCAGTATCTTACTTTTGAGCTGCACAAACAATGTTCAGTAACACTTTTTTTTTCTATTATTTTTAAAATTTAAAAATCTCGCAATTATTTAATATTTATCTTGTTCAGAAAAATCAAAGTTAAATGGAAGACTAAAATTGTCACTGCTCACAGTTAATATATAAAATGTTAGTCCTGTAAACCTAGCATGCAGAGCACCATACTGCTGACACATAGGTGCATCTGCATTAAAGTCAGAAGAGTTACATCCATTGATGCCTACAGTCTGTACTGTTTGCAATGTTTTTATCTATCGTAACTATTTTACCAGTGGAAGCTATTGAGAACCTGAGACTCTCTGCAGTGTTAGTATTAGCTTGCTGGTCATCTGGGCATTTAAAAATTTAACTTAGATATCTTACTCTTTAGGTGGTCAAAAATTTCTCCTCTTTTTCATCTGTGTAGCCCCACTAGAGCCATTTCCACTGGGCCAAATTGTTTGCAAGAATGAAACAGAGGTAGAAAGAGGTCCCTGGTTCATGGCACAGTAACATAAACTTGGCAAGGCTTTAAAATGGAGAACAGAGATTGGCCCAACAAAGCACTAACAACTTGAAGTCAACTTAGTCATTTATTACACTTTCAAAATGCCTCTTTAGTCAGAAGCTTCTACTGCCTCCTCACAACTACCTGAGATATTGGGTTAGGCTTAGCCTCAGAAAAATGTGAGCAATATGTAATTGGGTTAATACACCTTTTGCTATTTTATATCCTCTCAATCATTTTTCTGATTTATGATAAATGTAAGCTTAATAATTTTGATTCATCTGAGCATTAAGAAGTGTATTCTACCATGCAGAATATTCCATTACCTGTAACTTGAATATATAGAATGTGGGTAATAAGAAAACATGCTTCTCCATTTCGTAATAAACCCAAGCCTGTTTGTAGTCTATCTAGAAACTGAATCTGGACTCACATAAGGTGCTCCACTCATCTTTTTTTTTTTCCAGCATTGCCTTGAAGGTGTTTAAATTAATACAGAAACTAAATAAACATTGCATAAAGGAGGATTTCGGTATCCAAGCAAAATAAACTTTGAGCAAACATGATAAGGATTAGAAGTCTTATTCCAAACCTCTAAAATCAATGGGAATGTGGCCACTGGAATGAATGGAGCTCCTACCCTCTAAAAAGGAACAATTTCAGTGATGGCAAAATAAGGTTGGTTTATACATTTAAGTAACAAATATTGAAAGCAAATATATTTTACATATCATCTAAATGTCTTCCGTATATTATAAAAGTCCCTTTAATCCATGTTCACTGCAGCTAAACCAGTGTGATCCAATCAGAGGCAAATGTTGAAGCAGATTTAGCGAGGGTATTGCGCAGAAACTTAAACGCTGTTCACTGAAGACTCTAATCCTTTTCCCTTCCTCCTATCTGAGCAACATCGACAATGGGCAAGTTCATAATAAAAGATCATTTCTGCCTGCAGATCCCACGTCCCCAAATACAGAAGTCAAATGCTACCTATGGACTGTACGAGATCTTCAGATTTGGCTGTCTTTGACCACTAGTCTTTGACCTCTCCTGAGACAAGAAACAAGGATGCCAATTAAATCCAGCAGTGATTGTCCTTGCTGCATTATAGTCATCTGAAGTGACATAAGAACTTGACTGAGCTCATGTATCACTAAAAGTTTTATCATTTCCATGCTGTGCTAACTTTGGACTGTGGTGGGGGGGGTAGAGGCTCCACATTGCTCTGAGAAACAACAACTATTGATCCTTTGCAACCTAAAAACCTCAGAATTCACAGTGCTGTCTTCACTCAAGGAAAAGTTCAAGTCCTTCTGAGGACCAGTCAGCATCTTTTTCACTGACTAAAACTGTCACTGGAATGGATTCAAAATGAAATTTTACTTGTAAAAGATAAATTCTTTGATGAAGGCATGGAATTATTCAATGGAATCAGCTAGCAAATAGGCATATGCTTTATAAATCTCTTACAAATTAATGGAGTCTGTCAAGAATATTACATTTATTGAACTTCAATGCAG